TTTTTTTTTTTTTTAATAGATTAATAAATGTGATACATGAAAAAAAAAACATATATTATGATTATACATTTAATTGAAAAAAATTATGACAATGGTAGTAGAAAAAAAAAAAACAACAAAAAAATATAAAATAAAATAAAATAAAATAAAACAACAAAAATCTAGCTAAAAAAAAAAAGTTTATAAATATATCTAATGACTAAGGTCCACTCTGAGTTTGTAAATATCATGAAAAATTAGTCAGCAACACCTATTTTAACAAAGAGGGGAATGCTCACTATAAAATTGATCTATCATTCTTCAATTGCATTCCACAAAATTCACACTAAATTATCATAAATCATATGCCATGGCCAAAACAACGTATCTTGATTATACAATAATTTGTTAACATAAATAATAAAACTATATATATATATATGTGTATATATATATATGTATATATGTTTGTATATATTCAACATTTTTGATAAAGATTATAATTGAAAATATATAAATTGTATTTTTCTTTTTTTTTTTTTTTTTAATGAAACTGACGTATATATAGGCCTGGCAAAATATCAAGAAAATAAATGTGTATAAGGTGGTAAATCACGCAATTAACAGGATTTTCATAGTTCTCCTATCTATGCCCTGTATGTGTTGAGTGTGTTAGGATATTTTTTTTTTTTCCCCAAAGTGAGTCCCTAAAGAAATGTGTACAGTAACAATGATGGAATACTGTATCACTTGAGACACCGTTCGAAACAAAGTGTTCCTACGTAACCACCTCTCATAGCTTTTGCTACATTTTGTTCGAATACTCTTCTGTTATTTTGTAATACTTCTGCAGCATCTTTATTAAGAGGATCTTCTGGATTGGGTTCCTAAAATAATATTATTATTAATATCACTTCAATTACTTTATAATTCATTATAAATTTAATATACAGTATGTGACTAAACAAACATTACTGAATGGTTGTATCAAAAATCTGCCACTGTAACAACATTTTGAACACATGTTGTATCTATACAGTTAAATACGTGTTTTAATGAGATATATATCGATGTATGTGTTAGTACTGTTTGTTTTGTTGCATACTGTACCATAAATACATATGTAGGATTCATATGAACAAAATGTCACTTGAATTCAAATCTTCTACTTTCTAACCTAATTCTTATTTGTAACAAAGTTGTTTGATCCCACATATATCAAATGAAATGAACCCCTCGCACTATAATTTAACAAAGTTGCGTCAGTCTTTATGTTAAAACCCATAACATTCACCACAAGTAACACCAATGTTTCTCATATTTGAATCATAAACTTTATCACAAGTATTATGTGTTGTTATAGTGCAAGAGGTTAATCAAAAATAATCAAATATGATTAACCCATACTAGAAAAAGGTACTGAAGTCCATAAACAATAGAATTAATAGTTAGAACAGGTTTCCAGTCTTCTCTTAAGATATTCAAACACACGTTGCCTTCTAAGTCAATATTGGGATGATATACTTGAGTTTCACATTTAACTTTAGGTGGTTCGTGAGGGTAATTTGGTCCAACTTTAAAACTGAATACAAATCTACCACCTCTATAAAAACCCTGAAAAATATTATTCAATGCAGATTATAATGCAGAGGTTGAATTGATCTATAATATATATACATATATATACATATATATATATACATATATATATATATACATATATATATATATATATATATATATATATATATATATATATACATATATATATATATATATATATATATAGAATAGTCAATAAGAGATTAAATGACATAAATATTATATCTTTTACCTTGTATTGTTATTGTTATTGTTATTGTCAGTAGTATTGACATATTAATTACAGTTATATTATGAGAGACATATTAAAAACGTAAAAGTATATGAAATTGTTGTTATCAAATTAAAGCCCTACCTCATCTGGACAAATAATTAATTTAAAACTCAATAAATCATCGGGATCGGGAAACTCCGTACCGCATGTTTTTGGTAAATTAAGTTCGTTAATATCTGTAAAAATAAATATTATAATGAATATTTATTAATTGATAATAATTTATATATAATTTATATTGGTATTGCGCCGAATCGAACACCTTTCGTTATTCTCAGCTGTGCTGCTGATGCCTTTTTCTGGGTCCCAGCCTTTGGTGACTCGCCATCTTTTTTCGCTTGTTTCAACGAAAATAATTTGATCATGTTAAACTAGAACTTTGACTGCGATAAAAAGAATACATACAAAGGGAATTAATTATACTAATTTGGTGAAAAAATCGTATTGAAGGGGGGTGCAAATTAAATCTACGTTTAACTTGCGATATCTTTGACAACACGATTTACCGCATTCGGAGACGTTCTCCCGACTAATGTCACATGGACAGATATTTATGACTTTGCTAAATTCACGGCGTACAACGTTTACCTCGATTCGCATGAAGTTATATGAAGAAACCTATATATATATATATATGTTGTCTCTTTCACTCTTTCACTATTTTCCTTAGTGCGAATGATATCAAGTAAATGTTTTTTTTTTTTATAATATTGACCAATCAAATTTTAGAATATTATATTACGATTTTATCGACGGAGTTGTTATTATCGATTAATAGATTTTTGCCGCGAAATTTAAATGCTAATTTAAATGCTAATTTTTAAATGCTCATTTTCAACCAATAAAAAAAAAATATATATATCACACATTTCACTCACGCTAAATAAATGGTTAAATTGTTAACAAAATTGTATTAAATATTCATATTATATGTTTATATTAAATTTTGTGTGAATAAATTATACTTAAATTTAAATATTACAAATTATTGAAATATTCATTTAATTCATTTTCTTCCATATTGAAACTTGTGTTACCCTGGTAACCAAACAATTTCAAAACAAATCTAACGTTAATTTATATTGTTGAAGAAAAATTAAATAATTGATGATAATGAACATTGTTAATATTGTTTAATAAAGATTAATATTATATAAATTTATTTATAATGAGGGCACATCCAGCATGGGTTGATAAAGTTCAAGATAAATTAGAACAATGGTAAATATTAGTTTCAAATATGACATTACTATTATATATTTTATCAAATATTGTTTATACATTTGTAATATTAAATTAAAATCTATTTTTTCTCCACAGTATATATGATTTATGTTTTAATCCTGATGGTACACAATTAGTCGTAGCAGCAGGACATCAAGTTTTAGTTTATGAAACTACTGGTGGTGCTTTGGTACAACCATTAAAAGGTAATCAAATATAATTTTGTAATTTATATATATATTACTTATAAATTTAATGAATTATAAATAATAATTGTTATATAGGTCACAAAGATACAGTTTATTGTGTATGTTATGCAAAAGATGGTAGAAGATTTGCATCAGGTAGTGCAGATAAAAGTGTCATTATATGGACTTCCAAATTAGAAGGAATATTAAAGTACTCGTAAGTCATATTTTTGCTAAAATCAAAAGAAAAATTAATAACATTCATATAATATAATTTTAATATTAAATGTATAGACACAATGAAGCTGTTCAAGCGATGCAATTTAATCCTGTATCACATCAGTTACTCAGTTGTTCCCTTTCCGACATTGCATTTTGGTCAGCTGAACAAAAAGCGGTACAAAAACATAAATCTGGTGGAAGAGTTAATTGCTGTGCGTGGACTTTGGATGGCCAATATTTAGCCATTGGTTTAGCAACCGGTTATGTTTCTATCAGAAATAAGGTTTATCAATTTCTATTATTATTATCATAACTTCAGTTTTAAAATACATTTATCAAATGTAATATTTAATTTTGCAATTGTTTATTTAGAATGGTGAAGAAAAGATACGCATTGAAAGACAAACAGGTGTACCCATCTGGAGTTTAGCATGGAATCCTTTACGGTATGATTGTATCATACAATTTGTATGTACAAATATGTACAATACGCTGTATAAAATGTCTTTCATTTACAGGGATGATGTCGCAGATATTTTATGTATCGCAGAATGGAATGGAATTATTTCATTTTATACAATCAATGGAAAACCTATTGGAAGAGAACGAACAGTACATTTTACACCTTTAAAAATTACATACTTTCCTGATGGTCAATATATTCTTGTTTCTGGTAGTAACAAACAATGTCTTTTAATGACTCATGATGGTATACAACTTGCTGTTGTTGGTAACACGTTTTCTTCATGGGTTTGGAGTTGTGCGGTTCATCCATCTTCTTCACATGTTGTAGGATATCTTTTTCTAAAAAAAAAAAGAATAATAAATAATCATTGGATATATAATAGTAATATTTAATATTTAAATAAATGTTGTTTTAAGGCACTCGGTTGTCAAGATGGAACAATAACTTATTTACAATTATCGTGGAACGTTGTACATGGATTGTACAAAGATAGATACGCTTACAGAGAAAATATGACTGATGTTATAATCCAACATTTAGTAACGAATCAGAAAGTTCGTATCAAATGTAAAGACTTGGTACGTATCTCATAATATATTTTAATATTTTAATTGTTTGATTTTTTTGTTTAATACAATTTTTAACAAATATTTTTTCCTAGGTTTGTCGTATCGCTGTATACAGAAACAGACTTGCTGTACAGTTACCAGAACGTGTAATAATTTATGAACCATCTGGAAACAGTGAAGGAATGCATTATCGTATACGTGAAAAACTGAATCAAACAATTAATTGTAATTTATTAGTTATTACAACAAATCATTTGGTGTTATGTTTAGAAAAACGATTACAATGTTTATCTTTCACTGGTATTGTTGAAAGAGAATGGATTCTTGATGATCTTATAACTTATATCAAAGTAGTGGGAGGTCCTGCTGGTCAGGAATGTTTAATTACAGGTAAGGAAGTAAAAAAAAACCAATGTAATATATTAATATAATTATTAACAAAATATTATTGCATTATCAGGTTTAAAAACAGGACACGTAATTAAGATTTATCTGGATAATCCATTTCCTGCACATTTGGCAAAAGTAGAAGGATCAGTAAGATGTTTGGATATAAGTTCTTTAAAAGAAAAAATGGCGGTTGTCAGTGAAAATGGAGTACTTTCCATATTCGATTTATACACGGAAGAAAAATTACAAGATTTTCAAGATGTTACAAGTGTTGCTTATAATAGTGCTTCCGAAGATATAATGTGTTTTTCTGGCAATAATTATCTTGCGATTAAAGTTGCTAATTTTTCTGAATATCGACAGAAATTTTCAGGATTCGTTGTTGGTCACAATGGTTCTAAATTGTATTGTTTAAATGGTTCAGCTGTTATTATCTTAGAGGTATAAAACATCAAACATTAATTATATTTCATTTACATGTTTACATAACTGTTAATTTAATATTTTATTCAGGTACCACTTTCATTGTTCATGTATCAATACTTAGACATTGGATTATTTAAAGAAGCTTATGAAGTAGCTTGTCTTGGTGTTGCTGAATCAGATTGGCGAGCATTAGGTGTTGCTGCATTGGATAATTTAGAATTAAATATAGCTTATTCTGCTTTTGCTCGTATTAAAAATTTACGATACATTGAAGTAGTATCTGAGGTAGAAGAAAAATTAAAATCAGGTGAATGGGGTAAAGAAGCGTGTATGGCTATAGCTGCTGCAGCTATGGGTAGATTAAAAGATGCAGCTAAATTGTATCAAAAAGCTGGTTTGCAACAGTATGCTAGAGACATGTATTCTGATTTACGTATGTTTGATATTGCTCAAGAATTTATAGCAAGTGGTAATACTCAGGTAATTAAGAATTGTATTTCATTGTATGTGAATGATCTTTGAACAAATATTTGAATACAATTGAACTTCAATTTTTGTTTAGGATCGTACCATTTTGTTACGTCGACGTGCAGAATGGGCTAAAAGTTTAGGTGAACCACGTGCAGCTGCTGAAATGTTCTTTTCAGCTGGTGATACACAACGTGCTATTAATATCATTGCTGAATATGGTTGGATTGATATGCTTATCAAAGTTGGTAGACAATTGGACAAATCTGACAGAGATAATTTATCTCTGATCGCTAAGATATTGAAACAATTGGGTGCTACTCATGGAGCAGCTGAGATTTTTAGTAGATTGGGTGATGATCCTGACGTAGCTGATGTACTTGTCGATGCACAAGCTTGGCCTGAAGCTTTTGAACTTGCTGAAAGAAATCCTAAATTAAAATCACGAATATATGGACCATATGCTAGATGGTTGGCAGAAACTGGTCGTTTTTCGGAAGCACAAGAAGGTTATTATACCTATTATTCATTTATTTATTTAATTGTGATATGTTTATTTAATTAATTTTGTTTTTTAGCTTTTCAAATGGCTGGTCAACCTGAAGAATCGGTTAGCGTATTAACGAGCTTGGCTGACAATGCCATTGCTGAAAAAAGATACCGTGATGCTTGTTACTTTTATTGGCTTTTATCTCAGCTTAGTCTTAATTTGTCAAAAAATACAGAAGAAATAAAAGCTATGTATTTGTCATATTACAATAAAGCTGACATTTATTATGCGTATCATGAGATACACAAATATTTGGTAAGATTGATTGATCTTTTTCTTTGATGAACTTTGATATGAATTTCAATATTATTTTGATTTCAGGAGGAACCATTTACATCTTTAATGCCAGAAGCATTATTTAATATATCAAGATATTTATTATTAAAAACCCAAGGCATTCAATTAGAAGGTGTATCCAAATTAAAAATAATGTACACTTTAATCAAACAAGCTCGTTTGTTGGGTGCCAACAAATTAGTTATGCAATTACTCGAACAATTGCGTTCAATGAAAATTTCGAAAAACCTTCTTGCAGAAGTTGAAACTTCAACTTTAGCTGCTAGAGCTTATCCATACAGAGATCCTGAAGAATTATTACCATTATGTTACAAATGTTCAACGTTCAATCCACTTTTACCGATAGATAACAATATTGGTAGCAAATGTATACAATGTGGCCTTAAATTTCAACATTCATTTGTTATGTTTGGTAAATTGTGAATTTATCTATTTTAATTAACCCCCTTTCGTTTCGGGCGCCGTATATATCCGGCAACTGTGCGATGACTTGTGCGTACGAGCGCCGGATATATCCGGCAACTGTGCGATGACTTGTGCGTACGAGCGCCGGATATATCNGCGTACGAGCGCCGGATATATCCGGCAACTGTGCGATGACTTGTGCGTACGAGCGCCGGATATATCCGGCAACTGTGCGATGACTTGTGCGTACGGGCGCTGGATATATCCGGCAACTGTGCGATGACTTGTGCGTACGGGCGCTGGATATATCCGGCAACTGTGCGATGACTTGTGCGTACGGGCGCCGGATATATCCGACATAATAATATTAAAATAATATTTTATTGTTATAGAAATTCTACCATTAGTTGAATTTGAGTTAGAGGAAGGTATTACCGATCAAGAAGCAGAAAAATTAATAGAAGAATCATTGTCATTATCGAATACGTCAACTACTGAAGATCAACTTACTGTATTTCCTAACGAAACAGATCTTTTTACAGCACGTTTAATAAAATACGAGGTATAATCAAAACATTTTTATATAAACGTTTGGTAATCTGATTTTTTGTTAAATAAATAATTTGTTTTGTTCTTTAGGAGAAAACAGATGATTCCACAGTTATTGTTGGACGAAGTGTATTGAAAAGTATGGATCCATCATCGGTTTTAATAGTCAAATGGCCAAAACCATTTAAGACAAAATATTTTAGAAATCTTTTGCCTGATCTTCAAGTAGTATTATGTAAATCTTGTTTGAAAGTAAGTAACATGTTAACACTTTGCACTCGAGTAACGCTGATACGGCGTCTGGCAGATTTAAATGGCAACTCGAGTGGCGCTGATACGGCGCCCGACTGATTTCAAGTTTGCTTATTTACCATGTCTGATAAGATATCTCTTTTAAGATACACTTAAAGATAATATTTAAAGTCTCGAGTTGCTGATTAGCGCAAATGAAAAAGGACCTCGAGTGCAAAGGATTCAATTATTTAACACATGTAACGTGTAACATTTTTATAAATAATAATAATAATAATAATTATCAATCTTTCAGCTATTTCATTCGGACGATTATGAATTGGCAATACTAAGATATGGTCATTGTCCATTTTGTAGAACTTCGTACATGTCAAAAAGTTAAAAATAATCAAATTATTGATGCAAATGCATGAAATATTTACATGCATTATTTTGTAAATGAAAAAAAAAAAAAACACAAAAAAATATTTTACAAATTTATATCATTTAATGATATGTTAGATAAACTATTCAATTTTATTACTGTTAAGATATTTTTTAAGATGTATATATATATTTAAAAAAAAGGTTTATAAGTTAAACATATAACTGTATATACACACATATATATATATTCACTTTATATAAACGGAATTAACTTTAAAAATCAATCATATAAAGTAAGTTTAAGTATTAATATAAAAAACAAAACAAAAACAATATAAATGATTGTTTTAATTATAAACAAATCATGTACTTGATTACATATTATTAAGTAAAAAAAAAATAGAGATAAATAGAGATAAGAGATAATAGCTGTATTAGAGTTGCACGTGATGCATTTTCGTTTTACAGTTATATTACATTGTACGGTATAATACTCAAGTTGAAGTTTTTCGAAAACTTGCTAATTATTTCTACAACCCGAACAAACTGAGACCGTTACATTAGTCTTACAGAATACGAAGAGGCCAGATATTCTTTTCAAGATGTTCAGTATAACGTTAACTGTAGTATTATTTGTTATATTATCTTTTGTAAATGGTCAATTTGTTAATAACAATAACACAAAAACGAATAATGAAAGTTTGGATAACGTGTCAAATAGTTCTTACGTGATGCGACAGAAAAAATGTAAGTTTCATTCCACATTTTCTTATTTGTTATAAGATTACTGTAAAACCAATTTGATAATATTCTAATAATACTGTAAAATCAATTTGATAATATTCTAATAATATCAAATTTGTAAAATAATTATAAAATTTTGTACAGTTTTTCCATTCTTCAGTGTCATACGATTTGCTAATTCTCAATGTCTAGCAAGTAATTCTCTCAATGGCACATGTTTTACACGACGAGAATGTAATAGTTATGGTGGTACACCATCCGGTACATGTGCAAATGGTCTTGGTATTTGTTGCATCTGTTAGTAAATCATACATTATATATAATGTATTATAAATTATACAAATGTATAAACATTCATTATATTTTGATATTAATTTACAGTTCAAAAGTCATGTGGATCTACCACGAATATAAATAACACATATTTCATTAATCCAGGATATCCTACCACTTATAAAGGAGGAGAACGATGTACAATAACAATAAATAAATGTAACTCTGATATATGTCAGGTATTGATGCTAATCAAATTAATTTTTAATGTATTCTAGTTGTAATATGTGTATCGTTATTAACATTCTTTTATATTTACAGATACGTTTAGATTTTATAGATTTTAGTTTGGCTCAACCTAATGAAAATGGAACTTGTGATTTTGATTTGTTTTTGGTATCCGGAGCATCATCGTCAGTACCACGTATATGTGGAGAAAATTCTAATCAGCATGGTATATATGAGACGTTTATTTTCAAAATGGCCTAACTCCATTGAGCTATTGAAGGATTTGCGTTTCAATGCAATGAAAAATGTACTAACGAGTTATACAGCTTAAAAGTGTATCTAAGGGTGTTCAATTTACAATTCCTTTCCATTAAAATACTGCCAATTATTAAGTGAATAATACGCATTTTCTTATTGACAATATAGAGCTAGGTCACTTTCAAAATTATATTAATTTTGAAACACAATTAATATAATATTTCATATATTTTACAGTGTATGCAGATTTTAATGGAGCATCACCAATAACCATTTCTATAGGAACTAATGGAGATTATCCATTTGATCGTCGTTGGAATATAAGAATACAACAAATAGCGTGTGATTCTTTATGGAGAGGTATACAAATAAATTTTATTATTTCCTATTATAAAATATTTAGAGAAAATATTAAAAAAAAAAAAAAACAAACAAATATTCTATATTATATTTTAGTTCCCAATGGATGTTTACAATATTACAAATCAATATCAGACACTGTAACAAGTTTCAATTACGGTACAACTGTAAATTCAAGACGTAAGCATAGAAATGATAATTTTTTAATGCATATTTTATATATTATAAATAATAAAAAAATAAAATAAAATAAAATAAAAATATGAAATATTTCAGAACCCGATGTAGCTACTAGAGAAATGGTTAATTTAAATTATGGTGTTTGCGTTAGAATGGCATTGGGTTATTGTAGCATTGAATGGTCGCAAAGTAATATGTATTCATTTTCTATTTCTGGAGTCACAGGTGGTTTTTTGGATCCAACTTTACCAGGTAATCAAATAAATACGAGTGTAATATAATAAAAACATAAATTATAATAAATTGTTATTGTAGGTACTTCTGCAGTTGCGGATTCTGGATTAGACTGTATTCATGATTTTGTTATTGTACCAAATCCAAGTGAAAATGGTATTCCACTTAATACAGAACGTTTCTGTGGAAATGCATTTATAACCAAAACATGTATGTATTTATAAATATATATTATTAATTATTACATACATATTTTGATATATATATATATCTACACATTGTATATAATATCTTATGTCGATTTTTAATTAATATTTCAGCTTCTTTAAAACCATTCGTACTTTATGTCGTTACAAATGACAATGACGTGAATGACACACAGAATAAGGGCTTTCAATTAAGGTACCGTCAATTACCGTGTGCTGTGTAAACAAATAAATATTATATAAATATAAACAGATTTAATTACAATATATATTATTTAAAACTGTTGAAATAATTGTTGAAATAATAAATACTATTTAGTTTTATATCTTTATGTCTATTTCAATCTATTTTATTCTTACAGACGAGACCAACACAACTATCTTCCTTCGCTATCTATATCACACTCCTCTCTCTCTCTCTCTCTCTCCCACTATGTCACATCACATTCGTGCGCGCGCAGCGCTCGCTACACTCTATCTCACTCACTCATCTCTCTGTCTCAAATTTCAAAATACTGTAATGCCTTTTATCAAGTCAAACTTAATTGAATCTTTCTTTTTGAATTTATAATAATTTTGTTGTGTAACCTATTCTATTTTAATATAAATTTTTTAATTATCATTAAATATGGTTCATTATTTTTTTTCTGTATTTGATGCAATTCATTATTTCATAATTTTTTCAAACCAATTCACCACTCTACCCCCTACACTTATTCACTATTACTATATACTACTTTTATACTATTTAAAATGTTTGATTCATTCGCGCGCAATCACGTGACTACATAAGTTCCTGTTCTCCCAAATTCTTTGGCGCGTCCCTCCTATAGGGTCCCTAATTTCTAGTAAAGACCCTTTAGGGGGGACGCGCCATGTAGATTGCTGGGGGACAGGAACTCGTGTAGTCACGTGATTGCGCGCGAAATATTCAAACATTGAAATAATTACGAAATAATGAATTGCATCAAATACAGAAAAAAAGTGAACTATATTTATTGATAATTAAAAATTTATATTAATAATTAATATAAATAAATAATAATAATATTAATTTATATTAGTAATTAAGAATACACTGTCGAACTATGATTATTTATCACAAACAATAAGTCTGTAAACAAACGATAAGTTATAGGTTAAGTTTATACATTTATACACTTGTAATTATTAAATGAGTAAATTAAACTTACACTTATAGAAAACTACTAAAAAAAAACAAAAAAACAATTAAACATAAATATCACAATAAAAACTATAAGTATTCCAAACTAAAACTAACCACAGCTGTTAATACATACTAAAGATAAATATGGCTGTGCGATGCAACGGAAGCTGTCCCCCACATTTTCAGCCTTGTAATCCACATGACGCGTCCCTCCTATAGGGTCCCTAATTTCTAGCACTTGAATACGCTATCTGGTGACTAAATTTAAAATTAGAGTAGATAGATCGAATTTCTACGTCACGTCCCTACCAGAAATCCCAATAGGAATATTACATATATAATTTATATATTCCAACAATAATAATGCAAGAAATAAAATCAATTTCATTTGTATAAATTCATAATTAATAATTTTCATTTTTAATACAATACTACATTTTGTTCTTTTCAAGAAAATAGATTTAAATAACAATACTTTCTTTATATAGATATTATATATAAATAAATTAACCATTTACAAGCTCATGTCCAGCATATGAATCAACTCTTTCTTTCATAGCATTATACCACGTAGATAATTTTGTATTATTTAATAAATCTTTAAAAGCAGTACATCCTTCAATACTTTTTAAAATACCATATACTGCAAGATCAGAAAGATCTGGATTTTCACCACCTTTAAATGTCGTTTTATTAGCACGTATTTCTCTTAACCATTTATTAACTTCGTCGTACAATGATTGACGAACATCTTCCTTTAATTTGTGCCTCTTCTTCAAACGTTTTCCAATCAACCACATAGCACATGCTCCTACGTTAACTATTAATATTCTTTCCCATGTTGGAAAATATTCTTTCCATTGACCAACCTGAATGAAAATACATCATTTTGTACACTTTCATTAATATTTATTACTTAAGCATATATTTTGAAATAAATTAATACACTTACCTCAGAAAACCATTCAAAAGTTTCATAAGATTCGTTCAATGTTCTATATACATTAGGTGAAAGTGTATGAACTAACACATCATCAGCCCACTGTCTCCATTTACGTTCTTCTCTAATAAAATAATTAAATATAAATAAATAATAATAAAAAAGAAAGAACTACAAATACTTATACTATGTATAAATAATCTTAAATACAAAACATTTTCTATATGAAGCTTACCAAAAAATGATTTACATTTACATTAACACGTTGAGCGTCACGTCAGTCATCGGTGAGTGACACTAGACTTTACATTTAGGCCACGTCAGTCATAAATGACTGACAGCGTATAACATATTTACATCTAAGCAGCGCACGTGGCCTGACGGGAATTTTCCTTAAAAATGGGCATGACGCTCAACGTGTTAAACACACGATCAAAATAAAACTTACACTATAGTGTTCAGCGTAACATTTTTAGGCATTTGATTATACATTAAGAAATATTTATTCATTATTTCATATTTAAATTTTCCTTTATCATCGTGCATACCAATGTTTGGATAAAATTCAACCAATTCGGAAACATTTTGAGATTGATCTCGCATATAAGATGAAAGTAATGATATTATCATCGAACTGTCGTTTAAAGGTTGATAACCATCTTTCGTTTGAACAAGAAGTATCGGTACTTTTCTATAAGAAGACCAAGAAATTTCTTTTCGCAATACTGGATCAACTTCAACGACATCATAAGATATTCCATAATAATCCAGAAAAGTCCTGACCTAAAGATCCAATTGTTTTCTTTTTTTAATAAGAATTATTATAATGTAATAATAAATATGATGTATGTATATTATATTTGATGCTGATATACATTTTAAGTGTATATGATTACTTACTTTACAACAAAAGGGACATGTTTGATATTGAAACAACGTAAGTTTGAGTTCAGTTGTATTGACAGGAAATATAACCTAAAAAATACAATGAAATTATAAATATAAATATATAAATTACAATTGATATTATATTTTGTAACATTGTATAATCATATTTATCATGGTTTAAAATAAAAATGTTTAAAGTATTGACAAAAAAAAAAAGAAGTACCTTCCTAGATGGTGTAATGGGTGGTTTATGTTTCAATATTTGAATAAAATTTGCAGATGTTGTTCCATCTAATGATAAATTTTTTCTTTCTTCACTAATTTTATAAAAAGAATAACCTGTTCCAGCAATTATACCGATAGATGCACCAATAATGCCGATTTTTAATAAATTTCTTGACTTTGGTTGTTGTGCTATTGTACAAAATAACAATGAACGATTATTAGGTATTAAATTATCATAATTTTTTAAATATTTATAACATCTTGAGAATCTTGACAGTTTACACAATGTTATAGCCATTTTTTTAAAAACAATTAATTATTCAAAAATCAGTCAAATATAACATCATACTGTAAGAATTCAACATTTTTTTTTTTATCAAAGTGTCCAGATGATGGCGTTGTAATCAACTGATGTACTCTACAAATATATTTTTTTTTTAAATAAATATACAATATTCTTTTGTAAAATATTGAATTGAAATAATTTTAAATAAAACACACAAATAAATAATTATTATAAATACATTAAGTGTATTCAATGAATTGCATAATATTTTTGTACGTTGTTTACATATTATAATATCCAATAACATCAATGTTATCAACTTTATGTAATTTTCATGTTACATAATAATAATTTTATGTAATATCTCATTTATACAAATATGTCAATTAATTTGAATATATTTTTAAATTAATGATTATATAAAAAAGAAAACATCCAATGATCAAGTAAAATTACATGTTTTTAAAAGGCGGGAAAAAACTAGATATTCAAATATGTTAGAAAATAAAATGTTTTATATATTGGTACTACTGTATTACTTATGATGTAAATATATGGACAATTGATTCATAATAAAATGTTACAACATGTGGTAAAATATACAAATCTAAAGGTTAATTTTCGAAGACATATTATTAATACAAGATATAGAATATCATTTGACAGTGTGATTTTGTATGATCAACAACCATCATGAGACCTGTTCAAAGACGTCAACAAAACCTACAATATGGCCTGTATTTATTATTTATGCAGGCTGTAAATATTGGAGTTGATAAAATATCTCCGGCTACTTTAATTGGAGTTATATTACAGGTATAATTCATTTTAATATATATATATATATAATAACATCTTAAGTATAGGAACTGTGAACAATGAATGTGATTATTAATTAATATTTAAAATTTTCACACAGGCATTACTTTATATGGGCCTAATCAAAGTTCCATGGAATGCAGAAGATGCGTGTATATCAGCAGTTAAAATATTTAAATATCGTGATTGGCGTTCTTTCATAGTATCCAATTTTGAACATGGATCCGACATGCATCTTTATTACAACATGGTATCTTTTATTTTAAAGGGTACATATTTAGAAGTCAAATATGGAACTCCTAACTTTGTATTATTGATCGCATTATTTTCAATCGGATGTAGTTCTATGTTTGTATTTCTTGCATATGCTCTGATGCAATTCACTGGAGATTACGGTTATTATACAATGTGTGCTATCGGTTTTTCTTCTGTATTATTCGCATTAAAAGTTTTAACTATATGCGAAGAGGATGATAGATACCGTGATGTTGGTGGTTTAAGGGTACCTAGTAGATTATCCATTTGGGTTGAATTAGTATTGATATATCTATTAGTACCAAATTCTTCATTCGTTGGTCATCTTGGTGGTATATTAGTTGGATGTTTATATTGTTATACATCTGTTGGTGAATTAATTGATAATTTAATATACATGATAACTGGAGTTCCTATTATACATGAAGAACAATTTTATAGACGACGTATTCTAAGTTTTAGATAAAATTATCATCCAAAGATTTAATACTTTATAAGTTAATATTATTTTTGTTATTTTAATATATATATATTTATACACATTGTTTTTTGTAGTACTTATTTATTACAATTTTTAAAATATAAAAATTCACTAAAAAAATACAAATATAATAAAAAA